ACTTGTCTTTCGCCCTTTCTTCCCTGCCCCCTTCCCATTTTTAAAAGGTTTTAAAGAACATCCCTGGGAGACAAAAATAGCTCCAGTAGTGAGAGGCCTACACACCGGGAATGCAACTGAGAGATGCGAGTCAGCAAGTGCGAGCCGCGAACATGAGTGTCTGGCCCTGGGTGGATGCTCCTCGCTGTCTTGGTGCCGATTCTCTGCCTGGGCCCGGTGGGTAGAAGGGAAAATGGTTTTTTAGGGTTGGGAGGTGGGTTGGGTAGGTTTGGGATTCCTAGTCGAAGGAATGAAAACCCCAGCTTTCGGGCTGAGGGGGCTCTTCCTTCCCCTCCCCCCACGTTTTTCAAATTTATTTTGCCCAGGCGGGGATTGGCGACGGTCAAAAGGGAGCAGTTGGCACTGAATGTCACCCTGAAGGTAAAATGAAAGACAAAAGATGAACGCATGCTTGCTTTCCGTTTGCAGCGGCTGCGGCAGGAGCAGCAGGATTTAAAGGGGAAAAAAAAAATCACACGCATATGCACACATATATACACACCCAGAGGCGTCAATTATGCAAACGCAATAATGCAATCAAATCATGACAGTGCTGGGAATTTTTTTTTTTTTAGAAAAATATAGATATTTATTTTTTAAAAGAGAGAGAAACGCATGCAAACAGAATCGTGCACATACCACGTAACCACCCGAGGAGAACCTGGCAGCCTCTCTCTTCTTCTGCCAAGTTATCATTGAGAAAACAGACAGGCATCATGACGTCCTGGGTCACAGGGAGTGCGGACCGACGCTACCAAGAGAAAAGGGAGGCGCCTGGGCGCTCCGGCTAGCCGCGGGCGCCCCTCTGCCCCTCGCAGCCCGGCTCGGTGAGTGCACAGCCGCTCGGGACGCGGACCCCGGGTGCCAGGCCGGCCCCGCGCCCGCGGGGGCAGAGCGGGGGGCCGTGCCCTTGCCACCGGCGGGCCGGCCAGCACCCCCTCGCCTGCCGAGGTCGCGGGAGCCCAGTTAAAGGAGGCGTGTGTAAGATGTGCAATGTTCCTGCATGGGGGTTTTGTAGACTTTCATAGCCAAAGAAACCGGCTTCGGCTTCTTTAAAATCCCCGACGACTCACCTGATTAACCTGCTGCAGTTCTGACCCTGCCAAGGTAACTGGTCCAAATCCTTATCATCAACATCTGGAGACAGACATTTGCATCTGGGGCATTCTTTATTTGCAGTTCTGGTTGAAATCTAGATTGCTACCCCCTTCCCCCTTCACTTGCTTAGAGTGTCTCGGAAAAAGAAAAAAAAAAAAGCAACCCCTCCCTCAATAACACAACCATAAGTACTGCCCACCTCTTGTAGACTTGCCTTACCGTGACTGCAAAACTGTCAGCGTGTGTGCTGGAGACACAGATAAATTCTAATTGCAATTAGATTTGTTCTTTAAACACCCCTCCCATCCCCCTTCCTGGATAGAGACTTCAGTGCTTGGTAAAGTGGTGAAGAGTGAGGGCAGAGTTAGGGCGCTGGGACGGGAGGGGTTAGGGTGAGGGGATCTGGAGCAGGGGTCGTTGGGGAGAGGGTGGCGCCAGGAGTTGAGGACTGCTGTCATGGGCTGGAAAATCCTTCCGGTGATTGCTGCTGCTGTAGTCCTAGGTGTCTCCCTCCTGTCCTCTACGCTTCTTTCCCTCCCTTCTCTCTCCCCAACCCTTTCACCTTCCCAAGGGAGTCGCTGAAGTTGCACGGAGGTCACCCGGCCATCATTTAACTCTTTTAAACCATCTACCTCATTCTACCCCTCAAGTCTGTTAGTACCTCTGCAGGATGGACCCCTGCACGCCTTGTTTGGTGATGGGAGAGTCTCAGAGACAGAAAGACACAGAGGGCAAAGCTCCCCTCCTCCCCTTCTCTTGCCTTCCTGCAACCTCTTCCTAGCTGCACCCCCTCCCCCTTTCAGAATCTTAATGAGCAATTCTGGAAGAGTCCGGAAGGGCCTGGAGAAACCCCTGCCTGCCTCATTGCTGTGGAATGATTATGTATGTGTTTATTTATTGTGCTTGCCTAGGTTATGTTGTGAATTACCACATGGGTCTGCTTATGTTAGGGAAGCACGTTTGCTGTGTTTGTGTTGTAGTACCAGAACCAGTGGCCATGCAATAAGACACAGACACACACAGAAAGCAAATGATTTCGCTAACACAAACCAGAGGGCAATGTTGAAAATAGCACCCTCTCTCTCCCTCTCTCTCTCTTTCTCTCTCAAAAAAAAAAAAAAAGACAAGAAAAAAAGAAATTCTCAGCATGTGGGTTCAGAGAAGCTGTCAGGTCCATATACCTCCTACTACTTTCAAAACACTCCTGCTTAATACTTTAAGTCAAGATCAGGAGACCTGCGGATGTTGTGAAGTGTGTTTCAGAGCAGCTGAATGACTTGGTCTAGTTTTGAAGAGAAACTCTCGTTTGTTTCTCACGCTGCCCAAAGACCAAATAGGGGAGTGTGTTTGGAAAATGCCCAAATTCAGAAGCACCAGGCGAGAGAAAAAGAGTCAGAAATGTCTTAGAGAAAAACAGGGAAAAAAATGGGATTGGGGAGTGGTTTCAGGGTTCTTTTTTTTTTTCCTCCTGTCCAGCAGATTTGATGTTATCAAAATGAGTTAACCAACCTGAGAAACAGTTCTGTCATTGTGGAAAAGAGAGGGAAATTTGAACATTTCTCAAATCGGATCTGAGGAATGCCTGACAGGAAGAAGAGACATGAAAACACTGATGGAGATGAAGTGACATTGATGGGGTTTCATCTCCTTCATATAGAAGAGGAATTAAGTATATAAGAAGGCAGGCCTAGATGATCTTTTAAGCCTACGTTTGTCTGTTATGCATGGCTTTGTTATTTTTACTAAAGCAATTCTCATAACTCTTTAAACTCGCATTAAGTAGAATTAAACGTGTGTATATTGCGAATGGTATCATACAACACATAAAACTCCATTGACTGGGGTGATGAATGTAGATAGAAGACTGTTCCTTTTCTTTAATAAATCAAAATAGCATCGAAGTCCTCGTGCATGGTATATACTGAAACCTGCTGGTCTTCTTTACCGGGAATTGCCTGGGGAGCCAGCGGAGTTTGTGATGGGTGTTGCTTTAACAAAATAGAGCAGATCACTCAATTAGGTTTCCGTGTGTGCTCCTCAATTTATTCTGTACAATTTTTCCAGAAATTAAAAGGTTACCAAGAGAGTATCATGTTCCCATCTCCGACTGAGCACCACTTATTACTGCAACAGTATTTCAATATTAAGTGATCTTTAAGATATTTCATCTTTCATTTTGAGTTCTGAATGTGAATCAGCATGAGGATGGCAGTGAAGCAAGATAAGGTATAACTAACCCACAGACAGCTGAAGGGCTCGGAGGAAAGAGTAGCTGGGAGGAATATCTGGGGCTGTTCTCAGTAACCTTGTTTACGGGGACATTTTGGTTGCAGCTTGAATTTTAGCAAGAGCCTGCCAGAGGTAACGGGCTTATGTTTGAAATGGATCCTAAGTGTCTCTTTTTTCTTTGACACAGACGTGCTATGCACCTTAGCTGAACACTCAAGACAAAACTTTTCTGATGCCCTATGACGTTTTCTAATGCAGACAAATCCTTGGATGAGTGTGTCATAGGAAAGGGGCTTATTTATGAAGTTCTCCTTTTGTTTACAGATGTGTCAATATAAGTAGCTTTAGTCTTTTTTTTTTAAATGTCTTGTGTGCTTGATTCTGTTAGATGCAAAACAAATCATACCCAACAAGGTTAAAGTACGCCTTGCAGATTGACCCTGTGAAATTGGTTTCAATTAGACATCGAAGGTCTCATTATCCTAGTAAAGAGGATTTTTGATATAATATAGAAATTCTGTATTTGTTTCAAAATTGTTGGAAAAATGTGGGAGTAGAAAGATTTTGAGGGAAATGCCAAAAGCTACGTTAATGAAGAAAAACACTGTTGAGATACTTTTGAATAATAGATAGGATATGTAATGGTCAACCACAAGATAAAATTTTTACACAGTATTTTTATGGCTTTAAATTGGCTGCATTGTAAACTAAGCTTACTACTCTATTAAGTCATTATACTTTTCAATTATTTAACATTTCTGGCCAAGCTATCTTCTGTGGTCTTTTTCCGTACACATCAGAGATGATATGTACAGTAGTAGTGGCTTGTTGTTATTGCAAGGACTTTGTGATGAAGCCACCCTTAATTTAAACTTTTCAAAACAATATTATGAAGACTGCACAGAGGAAAAAGAATGTTATGGATATAATTTGAGCCCTTTGAAATGGGGATAGCTACAATATTGAAATATGCCTAATACAATTTGAGTTATTCTCACTAAGAAACCTTGACAGTATCTGCCTTCTAGGTACTGTGCTTTTGGTAATACTATATATCCATTTAAATGCAGATCTTCACATTTCTCCAGGGAGTAGTTGATGAATCTTTCAATTGAACCACTGGTATGAGAAAACCAATGGAAAATTTTTCCGTGAACAATAGAGTCTGTTGTTTTGAAGCAATGATTATCAAGTTTCATAATATTGTGATTTTTAAAAATTCATTTAATATATCTTCATAAAGTCAAAATAATGTACCAGGGCTTCTTGTGCAAAGGAAGAAGTTTTCTCTTGTCACTTTGTTGTCAGCTTGTTAAAGCTGTGAAATCTTACGGCTTTTGCAGTTCAGTTTTTAGGTTGGCACTGCCATCCCAGTAGAGTAAGTGGGCTTTAGGAATCAGAGCAAAGAATTACGAGTAAGTTATACGTGTTCTGAACCTCTCGTGCTAGCTGATGTGAGTGTGGTACTATAGGAGAGTTTAAAGATCTTTCTCGGCCAGATGTGGTGGCTCACACCTGTAATCCCAGCACTTTGGGAGAGTAAGGCCGGTGGTTTACGAGGTCAGATTGAGACCATCCTGGCCAACACGGTGAAACACCGTCTCTACTAAAAATACAAAAATTAGCTGGATGTGTTGGCGCGTGCCTGTAATCCCAGTTACAGGCACACGCAGGCTCCTGCAGTAGAATGGCCTTTACCCCAGAAGGTGGAAGACGCAGCCTGGTGACAGGCTACTCCAGCCTGGTGACAGAGCGACATTCCATCCCCTCCTCCCAAAAAAATCTTTGTCAGAGACAATCTTTAGATAATTTTAAACCTAATTTATAATACAGTTTTGTATTAGAATTGGTGGTGGTGGCCAAAAAGGAGAGCCAGAGCCCACGGGGCCTTCTTTTAAGAGATGATTGCAGAAAGTAATACAGCCTTTGAAATAGAAGGTCAATACACACAGCCTTATGGTTCAGAGAACTGGAAAAATTCTTGCAAGTCTTAAAGAAAAAATTCTTGGTAGTATATTCCTGATAAAAATTACTGTGAAATTATTGTAACTCTTTATGTCTATCACATAGAGAAGGAAGTTCTCTTCTTCTTGGAGATTAGATACCATTCCTTTACTCATCCTTGATTCACAGCCCATTGGGAAAGGCCACTCTCTCCTTAGCTTGCTCTCGCCACTGTACTAGGGATAAACCTCATCTCCCATTCCTCTTGGACATGTATACCATATACAGATGTTTACTAGCATATTTATAATATTAGGCTTGATAGTACCTATAGTTGTGAATAATAATCATTTATAGTTTTAAATTAGGCCTTTATTTATATTTCTATTATAAAGGACACTTTGTTCATTTAAACAAGGTAATGATCATAGTTATCACACAGAAAAGGTTGAATGTGTTTGGAACCCCTGTGGTAAAATGCAAGGCAAGGTATTTTATTTACTTATATGACTGTTTCTGATGGTGTATCTGCTAAAATAAATAACCTGGATATTTAAAGGATGGTAACAAAAGAATTTGCTCATTTTACTTTCCCTATACAAGCAGATTATTTTTTAACTTGGAAAATATGCATACCTGACAGCGATTGTTTACTGGTGTGAAGATTTAAATTCAGGTTGCCAACATTATGTGACGTATAGCAAAACTTTTACCTTCCTATTCTGATAGATACTAATGGGATGGGATAAACAGTGTTTCCAGATATCTGTGTTACAGCGTGGCCCATTTAAATTTGGTCTCATTCTAAGATATATTAGGTTAATAAGTCTGATTTTATGACCAATATAATTTATATTCACAAATACCTATTTTTATTAACACAGTTATAGGTTGTAAGCAAATTTCCATATATGTTAAATACTAACAACAAGAATAACTAACATTTGTATAGTGAGTTACAGTTTATAACCATACATTATCTACAAGCTGTTCTTTAGAATAATATTTATTGCACTTTCTTCCTTAAGAAGGCAATCGGTTTTTACATTGTAAACATTATTTGAAAATAGATCCTTTTGTCAGAGTTCCCTCCCTTCCTTCCTCTTTCTTTCCTGTTTCTTGCTTTTTTAAAATCCATTCTTCCTTTTTTCTTCTTTCTTCCTTTAATGGGGAAAAAACCCTAATGACTGTTTTTGGTGGAGCATGTATAATTGCTTATCATACATTTCTATGAAAGAAGTAGACGTGGCAAGCAATCCCACATGATTTTTGGAATATATCTTCTGCTCACCAGTGTTCTTGAGGAAAATGTAAGGTTGCAGAAATCATTTCATGCCCTGTATGTTTTCAAACATAAATCAGGAAAATTGTTAGCGAGTTATAGCTTTTCTTAGAGACTGTAGCTATAGTACTATAGTAAACACGGGCTATATATTTCTCCAAGTTATTATGTGTGGAGAGAAATCTGAAGTTGGCTATTTAGATGAACAGTTTAATTCAGTTATTAGAAATTCATTTTCTATTTAGTATGAACATTTATTTTCCTAAGGTTGCAGAATTGGGATATAATACTTGATAACCCTTTGGCCCAATCACCTTTAAAGTTAGAACTGTGTTCTTTGTAGCTAATGTGCATACTAGTGGATGTCAGTCCTCAGCTAAAGGTCACTCAAAATGGTGCTAAGCTGGGTTTGTAGTATGAGCTAGTTACCCATTTCTTCAGAGGGCAGTAGTGAACCTTTGTTTCTTCATTTCTAAAATGAAGGGGTTTGACTCAATAGTCTCCAACTTCCTTCACCCATGTGTTTCTGAGTTTAGTGAATGAGTGATAATGAATCAGTCAATTAATCATATGACAATTATTTCCATTCTATAAACTGATTATTTTCTTAATTGTGGTCTTATGCCATGACTAGAAATATTAGTATATAGAGTAGTAAATAGAGCTCAGTATCTGTGGTTTGGAATGAAAGCCTCATGAAATTTAGTCTGGTTTGCATTAAAATTTTTTCATTGTAAATTAATTATTAGATATTTAAAACACCTTTTTTTTTCTTTTTTTTTGGTCCTACAGAAAATAGTATTAAATGCTGATTACTTTCCTAGACTAGACCATAAAAGCCAATTGTTACTTATTGGAGTGAATAGTATATTATCAGTGATGAATAAAATGTAAAGAACATTTTATTATGATACAAGTGATAAACATAATACAAAGGCAGTAAAACAGAATGATAGTTTATCATTTATCTAGACTTGGGATGATCGATGTTTAAAGAGAATGGACATAGAAGAGGAAGTTTAAAAGAGACAGAAACAATTCCAGAGTATCTGAAAGGGATTCTTAGAAACTTTCAGGACTTTTTGAGACTGGTTGCAAAGTATATGGCTTTTCTTTGCCTGATATACTGAAATATTATCAGTACTTCTAAGTTTATCACTTGTGATAAGATGTGGCTTTTGACACCTAAATTCATTGAACAGTGGGAGTGAGGAAAAATAGAGATAGAAAAAAGCTATTCTCTGAAGTAGTTGGCCAAGATGTGAGAGAATAAAAAATGGAAGCGATTGCATATAGAAGAGGGTGAGGTGTGTGGTGGGGGCAGATGGGTATGTGGAGGGGCGAATAAGGACAGGGAATAGCTTTGTCTGTATTTATCTGAGCTGCAGGATGTGATGCCAAAAGGAAAAAGAGGTAAACTAGTGTGTGCACATATCCCCTGGAGGGAAAGGACAGTGTGTTATGAGAAAAGACTTTGGAATTAGAGCTCTCATTTCAAAATCTCTACTGGATCACTTATTGCCTAAATGATTTTGAGAAATTATTTAATTCTTTGAACCTTTATAAAACTGTGAATAATAGAAGTGTCTGCTTCTCAAGATGGATGTAAGAGTTGAGTCAGACACTTGGGTATAAAAGTGCTTGTCAACTGTAAAGTTACTTGATTTTAGGTGGTGAAGAAGAGTCACTGGGTCCACCAGTTCTCTGTGCTGACCAGATCTGGCCATACTGACGTGAATTTGTTGGGCTCCAGAGTGGTCTTTGGTTGGTACATTTCTTGTCCACTGTGGAACAAGCACTGTGGTTGGTGCTTCACACATTACTTCAGGGAGGAAGCAGGAAGTAGTTGCAGGGCAGCTGGACATCAAGATGGTAGCAAGCCTAATAATTCTAACATGTGCAGTGCCAGTACTTGAGCATATTTACTTTCCCTTACATATGGCCACAGATTGTCTAAACAAACAAGTGACTGACTTTGGAAGCAAAAACAATATATTCAGTTATTGTGTTCTTTATCTCAAATATCGCCTGTCATTTGCGCTTTTGCCATGACATTGCTATTAATCTAAATTTCCTGGATTTTCGTTAAGGCTGAAGTAATCATTGTTTGGCAGTAAAGATTTATAAATAGTATTACAAATTCTATTTTTAAAGATGCCCAGGGTATAATATTAGAACTAAGGCACATAATAAGTGCTGGGTGCAGTGGCTCACACCTGTAATCCCAGCTACTTGGGAGGCTGAGGCTTGATGATCGTTTGAGGCCCGGAGTTGGGATCTGCCTGGGCAACATAGCAAGGCCCCAACTCCAAAAAATACCAACCAAACAAACAAAAAGCACTAATTTCTGTAATACATTAGTTGAAATCTAAGTTCTAGATACTATACAGATCCCTTTTAATAATATTTTTATGTGTGATTCACTGATAAAAGTCTAATTAATTCTTCCATCAGAAATGGGCTACATTTTAATGCGTAAAATGAAGTAGATCAACAATTATTTAAGAAATTCGAGCTGTTTGTACAAATATGTATGTATAAAAATCAGACTCTACCCAAGATTGCTGTATTTACAAGATAATGATCAACAGAACTCTTCAGTGTGTGAACTGTTAAACCTAGAAACTGGAGTGGACCCAGAAATCAAGAGATGTCTCGGGGTCAGGCTTGAATTAAAAAGTAAATATTTAATCACTCTTACCAAAATTCATTAGGGTTTCAATGTACAGGATACGTGCTAAACAAACAAAACAATCTTCAGAGAGTTTAATTATGAGTCAGTGTTAAGAACTTTGACATGCATATAATTATTTGGAAGTAATGACATAGACAGCATGAGCACTCGAAGGCCACATATAACCGCCAAACCATCCTTTATTGAAGGGTTCCAGATTTCTGTGAGGGTGATTTTGGGTAGTAAAATTGACCCAACTTGAGTTTTTTTTCAATTTAGAAAAATTTATTGAACAGATAATATCTTTAGCATCATACTAGGTCTGTTTGAGAATAAAAAGTAATTTTAAGATACATTGCTTCTCTTTAAGGGATTTATGCTACCTGCAGGGAAGTGCATTATTTATCTATGTGACACTGTGAAAATAACAAGTATAATATCAAATAATGCAAAATACGAATCCAATGTGGTCAATTCATATATATACCTTAAAGAGTACTTGACAGAATCAGAGAGCTTGGATTGGTGTTTAGGCTGCAATTTACTAGCTGTGTGACCCTCACCTCTTCAAGCCAAAATTTTCCTATTTGTAAAGTGGGTATAGCTTCATCTGTCTCCTAGGACTGTTGGAAGGATCAAATGAGACAGAGCATTTAAAGTGTGTTAATGCCTTATGACAGGGACTGCACAAATTCTGGGAGGGAAGGAGGAAATACGTAACACTTGTGGAACTGCACTTGAGGGTAGAGACCGTGTCTTAATTGACTTTGTGTCCCCAGAGTCTGGCACTGTTCCTGGCTCTGAGAGGAGGCTCAGTAAATGTTTGTAAACGCATGCATGCCAGGCACTGTGGTAAGCCCTTGACGTGTTATTCTTTAAAACTTCACAAAAAGTTTTGTATAGTAGATATATTGTCTCCATTTCACAGATGAGGAAACAGAAGTTCAGAGATTTTTAAGCAACCTCCAACCTCATGTAGGTAGAATGTGGTAGACATAGGAAGTTAACTTGGCACAAGAGTTCACACTCTATTCGTTACATGATGTGGACTCTCAGATGTAAGGGATTTGTCATTATTCCTGAACAATAGTGTCGCCAAAATGAAAAGCAAAGACCTTGGATAATTCACCAGATGCCCAGGCAGCTCCTGGGCTGGCTTTCAGATAAGTAGGGGAACATTCTCCTGAGCTGCCTGACACATTTAACGTGGCCTTTTGTTGAACTGTCAGTTCTGACTTCTACCCTTTGAAGTAAAAAGCACAATAGTGAAAAATACCATATAATATACCATAACCTGGACTTGTCATAGGGACAGAATAGAAAGGAAGGGCAGTGAGGAACTCGCAGTTAATGAAGTGGTTAACCAATGACTTGGATTAAGTTTGTTACTGTCACTAGCAGCCGCCCCTATCTTCTGTCTCTGTCTCTCTCTCTCTCTCTGTCTCTTACTCTGTCTTAACTTTCACTGCTAGAGTTGGCGAGGTCTAGAATTTTCACTCTCTTCCATGTTAAGGATGATACTGAACAGTGGAAAATGTCATGTTCTTCATTGCTTGTCTGTTCCTAGCATCCCTATAGCCTCACTGCAATAGTTGGCTCTGTTGGCGTGAAGTTTTGCAGCCATCCCCAGTTTCTAATGAACAATACTAAAATGGCCCCTGGCAACGCGGTAGTGTTAAAATTCCAGCCTCTGCATCAGGAGACAGAATGCAGAAGTTGATACCAGACTACCCAATCTTACATGATTTTGTCCTCAGTTTATTTCTGAGGAACAACAGAGGAGCCTTAGATACAAAGGTTTCTGTAAGAAGCAGAGGGAAATACATTTTAAAAAAACCCTGATTCATGTTAAAGCTTCTGTTAAAATATAGTACACAGTAGGTCAGGACAGCAGAGACAGGAACTACGTAGAAGTCCCGAGAATACCTTACGCTGTGTCAGAATCCAGCCGGTTACAGTGTGTGGTTTCCCGGGGACTGCGCTAACATACCTGAGATGAAACCTGGTGGGGAGATACTTTCCACATTCCTTTCTGACCTGTGGTGAGTCTGCTGGGGTGAATTGTGTGAAGTTGTCAAAGGTTGCTCAGCTCTCCAGCACTTGGCACCGGCTCTGCTGAAATGTGATGCCATTGGTTTTCAGTAAAGGTTCCTTTCTGCAGGGCTGCAAACACAGATCAGCTGCTACTGTGTATACACAACCAGAGAGCAAATCAACCAGCACATTTAAAGCAGCCTTTTTAACCCTGAGACTTTCCAAGATCTCCTCTTCACACAGGAAGTTTCCTTCTCTGTTGTCAGATTTAGCACTGTGCTCTTGTCATCAGATCCGAGCTAGGCTCCCTGCTGCACAGTAGAGAGGCTTCCTTAAGACATTTGTCCTTGAAACTGCACCAAACTCTTGGAAGAACCCAGAACGTGTAAGTATGTATGATTTAGGCAGCAATAGCACACGGCAAAGCTGCAATCAACCATTATACAATATCCGATTAGCAGTGCAGGAGGGATTTTTCCGACGTTATGTTACATTCATTTTCAATTCGTTCTGAGGAAACAAATCAATTCTAGCTTCTGATACAGTGACTTTGCAGTAGATGGGGTTGTAATATGTTAGCTTTAACTATTTGCTGTTCTCATTTAGCATTTAGATGTGACTTGTGGGACAATTACTGTGGGCATTAAACTATAAAACTTCTAAATTTTTATTAGGAATTGTAATTGTTGGTCATGTCCATCTTGAGAAACAAGTTAGCTTTGGGGAATGTTTTTAAAGAATTAACCACATAAATTCATAGACAATAGAAAGAATTTGTGCTTTTCTTGCTCTCAATAAAACATATTAGTTTGCAGTTTTAATTTACTCATAAAGAGCATTCCACTCAGGTTTTGTCTTAATTGAATCCTACCCAGTGCTGTCTGTTTGGTGTTTTACTGTCTTGTATGTATCTGTTTAAGTTACTTTGCTAGGATTGCAGTCTGGTTAAACCACTATTTAGCCACTACTTAGTTTCTAAGAACATTCAGCTCAGATAAATGTTCACAGAAATTTTGGAAAGTGGTGGATTTGTTTTCAAGGGTGGTCGTATTACCCTTGAAAGCTTTTTAGATGCACAACGTGAATGGCTGTCAGATGGAGACCACAGACTGAACATTCTCAGGCTGTAAGTCAAATCTCGGCTTGTCCAGTTTTGTAACTCCAATTAACTCCAACCAATAAAAGCCCGTGCCCCCTTCCTATCAATTTTTAATATGCAACAATACTTATGTTTATAAGATTAATTTCTCTCAGATTAGTCTGATTGATAGCTGGATTGTGGTTTCTTAAGAGCTTGCTCCCTGAAACCCACATCAGAGCTGCATTCCATTTAACTAGTGAATGTAAAAACGGGTAACCATGGATTCAGCCACCACTAACTGCCAGTGCAATGACTTGTTGTAAACAATACAAATGAGCCAGGAGAGCAGAGGCAACCAGACATGAAATGATTTTAATAGAAATTACGGTAAAAGGTCATGTGATTTGGTATCAGCTTCTGTTCAGTTTTAAAGGGAAAGTCTTTCTTTTCTCCCCCTTCTTCCCCACTTACCTATTTCCAACCAACCCAAGTGGCTATCTTACAAACTTGGCAGGTCCCACTCTGTGCTTCCATGGAGAAGGGCGGCCAGTGTGATTTTGGGCAAAGTGTGGTGACTTGTGGATTTTCACTGGTGAGTACCTTTATTTTAGAAACAAAAAGGAAGCCTGTATTTCAGGACTTCCTTTATGGAAGGTCATGCTAATTGCGTACTAGAAGTTCTCAAGTCTTGACTTAAGAGGAATAGGTCATTTCGTTCCTCAGCTTTTAAACGGTACAACTGTCTTTTCTCTCTCACCCTGAGCCTCTAGATTAATTCATAAACTCGGTCTTTCTGAAAACTGTTATTTGCTTTAGAAACAACTTCTGCAATATGGTAATAAGCATATGCAGATACTGTGAGAAGTGCTGTGTCCTAACCTCAGGGTTTTCCTCCATCCACCCAGATATTTTTTGAGTTCTACAAGGACCAGATATTACAATAATATTTGCATTTCTCTGGTAGAGGTGGTTTTGGTATGTGAAAATGATTATATGCTTAAATTAGCGTTCAACCAAGAAAAATGAGCAAATTATACCTGTGTTAAGTGCTAACCTCGTGGCTTGTTTGGTGTGCTGTTACCTGCTATGCTTATTTCAAAAAATAAATGAAGGAAGTCTAGTAGCCAAAGTTGCGGGGGAAAGGGGACGCTTTATCCAGATTTGGAGGGTGGATCTAGCTAGTACATAGCATGCAGGAATGAAGATGCTCAGAGTCACAGTCTCAAGCAAACCACAGGCACTTTAAGCAAAGGACTCTGTCTAGGTGTGCTGAGCCTCAAGGTGAAACAGACCTGAACTGGTTTCTTGAGCCATACCTCCTTCCATACACAGATGGTATAAATAATTGTGTCATGCCAGAACAAAAGTTAATGTCTCTTTTAACTCCTTTTTAACATATAGATTCTCCTGAATAGATGCATCATTGTACATATACAGGTGTCATACTGAATGATAGAATTTCAGGTGTGCATTTTTGTATTACTACCTCTGCTGTGATAGAACCAATCAGAACATGAAAAAAGCATGAGGGTTATAATTTAGAAGCTCAATAAAATGTAGAAGCATCAGCCCCCTCTACATGCACTCCAGGTTTTATCTGGCAAACTCTTTGTTTAGAACTATAAGTGCTAAGTGTTAACATAGTACTTATATTTAAGGTTTTTTTGTAGATCAATCTTTTTAAGATGTTGGAGAGCCTTATTGCATGCTTAGACTGAAAAATTCTCCAGACTATCATGATTAATGCTGTGGTCTCATGGTGTGTTTTCTATTTGAATACAGCTATGTTTATCAAAAAGATAGAAAAGAATAAACTCTAGTAATTAATCTTGTGGGAGGAGGAAGGAACAAATTGAAGCAAGTGTGGAAACACCAAGTGTAAGTTAATTTTGGGGTAAAATATAATAAAAATATGCTGTTTTTACTTTTCCTCACCTTGATTCTCCAAGCTGAAATAAAGGACTAAAAGTGTTAGGTACAAGGTGATTATGAAACAAAATATTTAGAGTCAGACATGGGTTGGTGTTTTGCTCTGGACCTAACAATGTTTAAGATTTTAGGCAAAGTGGCTTCAGCTGTCTGACCTTCCGCATTCTCATCTGTAGAGTGAGGGTAATAATGTATACCAATGTTGGTTGAAAGAGTTACACGAGATAACGTACGGAAAGTATTCAGCAGCATGCCTGGCAGAGTAAGTGTCTAGCCAACTGTTGCTGTTTTCATTGTTGCCTTGACCCTTGAACAACATGGGTTTGAACTGTGCAAGTCCACTTGTGGGTGGATTTTTTTTTTTTTTTTTTGCAACCTAACACCTACTGAAACTACAGTATTTGTGGGATGTGAAACTCGTACTCAGAGGGCTGACTTTTCGTATATGTGGGTTCAGCAGGGCTGATTGCAGGACTTGGTTATGTTTGGGCTTTGGTATATGCAGGGGTCCTGGAACCAATCCCCAAGGATACTGAGGGATGACTGTATTTTTGATTGAGGAAAAATGTAGTGAAGTAGAATCCTGCTCTCTGTGCTTCACAGAGAAGGACGATGTTCACCTCATTGTGTGGTCCTGTCATAGTGACGATTTCACTCCACAGTAACTTCCATCACTTGGGAGATGGTGATTCATTTTGTAGCATAGTATAGTATTTTATTTTAAAAAAGTATTTTTTTGAGATAGGGTCCTGCTGTTGCTCAGGCTGGTGCAGTGGCACAAACATAGCTTACTTCAGTCTTGAACTCCTGGGCTCAATTTTTTTAAACGTTTTGCTTTGTTGCCCAGGCTGTTCTTATGTTCCTAGGCTTAAGCTATCCTCGCACTTTGGCCTCCCGAAGTGCTAGGATTACAGGCATGAGCCACACTGCACCTAGCCTTTGTAACATTATTACTAAAAACCAAAAGTAATATTTATATTTTTTATTTTTTTAATTTTCATGCAACTTACTTAAAAAAACTAGTTGAGTTTTTTGTTTGTTTGTTTGTTATTGTATTTGGGATTTCTGATACTGTGGGTATTGAGGCTAAATGCACCTTTAAGGTATGATTCTATTGGTAGAGTTAAGGCAGAGGGACATTTAAAGGCATTCATAATTACACCAATCTTAAAAGTTTAAAAGTCGGGGTTCACAAAGATAATCATATATACTAAAGAACAGTAATAATTAGCCGGCTAGTAAGCATGGAGTGTATATGCTACCAAAGACACACCTCTTGGGAATATTGTCTACATGTTCACTGTGTCTTTTGGCCTTCCTGAAATCTAAGGGTCTCATTCTTTCATTCTTCCCTCCTGTTGCCCCTCCCTTCCTCACTTCCCTCCCTTCTTTATTCCTTCTTTTCTTCCCTTCCTCTTTTCTTTACCTTTCTCTCTTCTTCCTTTCTTCCTTGTTTTCTCCCTCCTTTTCTTTCTTCCTTCTTTCCTTCCTCCCTTCCAGCTTTTATATATCATCCCAGCTTCATAACATTTCCTTTTTATTTGTGAATCAGAGGGTTCAGGAAACGAAAAAAGAGGGACAGGAGACCCACAGTCTTTTGATGCCAATTTATAAATGGAAACTGGAAGAAGAGTCAGAAAAATCCGTTTTTCTTTCTCCTGCTATTGAACAGGAGAGCCACATCTGAAGTGACCTGCAGACCCCAGGGAAGCCTTGCTCGGTAACTATTTGTTGATTCATTGATTAAACGGCATGGAGAGAAGGGGCATCAAGCACGGAGATTCCCTTAGTAGTGAAAGCTTTGAAACCCCAAGCTGCAATGTGCAGTAGGATGGCTTCTCTGTGACCTTCCAACAACTAATCTCCTTTAAGAACTGAATCAAAGCAGTTAAGAGATCCCGTCAGATGGATTTTGCCTACACTTGGGTTTTTGGCAGTTTCATATAGAAGGCAATACATTCTTCATGAGGATTTTTTTGTGGTGGTTGTTCAGAAAGGAATGAAGACAAGGTGCCAGCAGAGATCTCCAGAGAGAGACTCTCATTTAGCCATGGTCCTATTCAGGCAGGGACAGCTGCAAGGTGGATGACTTTCTCACACTTCCCAGCCAACCTTCTCTTTAACCACCCTTGTTTGATACTCCAGTCAACAAGCACATCACTGTGGTGGGCTCTTCTCTACAATCTTCTTTCCCAAGGGCAAATGGGAGATATCCTATGACTGGATATCATATGAATGACTGTGGGTATTTGTTATGTTTTTCTAATATATAGCAGGTTAGAGCTGAAACTCCTCATTTTAATAGATAAATAAGTTGTCCACACAACATGTGAGCTGCAAACCCAGGGCTATAACTTGTGATTTCAGATTCCCAA